GGAAATTTGATATATTTAAAAAATTGCATTCGTCCTGATATTGCATATGTGGTTTGCAGATTAAATAGGTATACTCATTGTCCTAGTAATGATCATTGGCATGCTATTATTAGACTTCTAAAATATCTTAAAAGAACTATGGATTATGGCTTGTTTTATAGTGGGTATCCTTTAGTATTAGAAGGATATAGTGATGCAAATTGAATCTCTAATGTGGAATCCAACTCAACCAATGGTTATATTTTTACATTTGGTGGGGGTGTTGTGTCATGGAACTCATCTAAATAAACCTGCATAGCCAAATCCACCATGGAATCATAATTTATGGCCTTAGAAAAGGATGGGACTAAAGTTGAATGGCTAAAAAATCTCTTAGGTGATATTCCTTTATGTAAAAAACTAGTTCCCTCTATCTCACTACATTGTGATTGCCAGAATACTATTGCTCGAGCAAAAAATAGAACCTATAATGGTAAAAACAAACATATCAGATTGAGACATAATGTAGTGAAAAGATTAATTTCTGATTGGATAATATCCCTTGGTTTTGTATGATCAAAAAAGAACCTAGTAGATCCCCTAACCAAAGCTCTTCCTAGGAAGCTTGTGTTTGAATTTTCGGGAGGTATGGGACTTAGGTCTATTTCAGAGGTTATTAGTGATGGAAACCCAACTTATGCAAGTGGAGATCCCATGAGCTAGGTTCATATGAAAAAAATGAAGTCACCAGATGACCCATTGAGCACAGTTAATTTATTTGTCCCTATATCACTTTAAAGTGCTCGTTGCTTTTAGGTTGAGTTACATACTCTTAATGAATCCTTGCTACTTTCATGATTGTTTATTGTGTGGTTAAGCAGTTCACACTTGTACTTTACTTTTTGGATTCACCTATGTGAGCTTGGAGGTGAGGCTACGTCCTATGAAAACTTAGGCCGGTTTTCTAGTAAGCTCATGAAACCAGGATGGCGTAGGGCTGATTTAGCGCCACAACAATTATAAGATAGTTCTATGGGAAGCGAATCAACATATCTACGACAAAGAAAATTGGTTCATAGGCTTAGTCTACCAGATCTCTATAGATCCTGGCCGTATACCCTAATGTAAGTTCATAGTCCAAAAGACACTTACATCATTGCATTTTTGTCTTAGCATCTCAACTCAGTAATCTCATCATCACATTAAACTTTTGAATCATGTGGGGGATTGTTGAAATTTGTTTGAAGTGTGATTCAAAAGTTTAGTAAGGTTACTTTTGTCATTTTAAATTTTTGTCTTTTGTCTTTATTTGCACACACCCACATAAGTCACATGCTCACATAAGCTTTGACCATTACCAAAATTTTGTTTCCCTCTATTCTTGAGCCTAACTTTTCAATCTCCTTGTTTGCTTGAATCCCACATTGGAAAATTACAAGGAAAGTGTTAAGCTTATTATTGAGAGTTGGCCTTTCCCTTATGGGGACCCAAATGGAGTAMATATACATATGGTCTCATGGCTCGGGGTGGTTAAGGATTCTATTTCACACGTGTGCATCGAATCGACCTTTTTTTACTAGGTGTGGGTTACCCGCCTACTTTTTTTATTGGCTTTTTTTTTTAATTTGAACAATTGTGCCTTTCATTTTTAACTTGTTTTAATTTCAAATTCAAACAAGTGACTGTTCATTTTCTTCTTTTTAATCAAAACTTTTGGTCTTGACTTAGCATCTCTTCACCGCAACCTTTAATGGCATCTCTCAGAAGAATCGCCACATCTTTCTCTTGCATTAGAAATTCTATTTATACTCTTCACATTTTACTCTCAACATTCAATCATTATATGCATACTGCATTCATTTTACTCTCAGTATTCCGAGTGCACGACTATTGAGTGCCTTAAAGGTTGTTGAATCCTAGAACAGAACACTGGGTTTCCTATACTGCACCGGACATTATCCAGAGGAGGTGAAATGGGGTTTGATTGATCAATTACATGAAAAACATACCTGCACACGACTTGGAAAATAGTTTTTCTCTTACTAAAACCAATTTTCAACTTGTCCCACATTGGAAAATTACAAAACTTATTATGAGTTTTTAAATGGAGCTTATTTACACTCCTTAGAAATAAAGATGAGAGTATGGAGGCTTGCTACAGCTCAACGCGCATACATGCGCATTTGTGCGGTGCAATGAGGGGCACTTTGCTCGCACCCGCATGGCTAGCGAATGGCAATTTTGACTTTTGGTGTGAGGCTGACTGTTGATGTTTCAATGGTCACAATTCGATCAAGTGTGATCAAGAGGCAGTATTCAAAGTTAACAATCATTAATTGTTAGCTACCTTTTTAATAGTCGAAGTCTGAAAAATCGTAACTATTGAATGAGCCTTTTTTGAACCAACACCTTCCTCTGCTCCATGACTCTTCAAAAATTATTTAAGGAGCGCGAATCAAGCAAATGCACACAGAAGGTTTCTTCGAAAACTCTTCAAATTTGCTGATTGCAGATTCTTGCCCAAGGCTCTGTTGTATCATAGGAACGGATTTTAGTGACCTCAATTTTCCAACAACAACATCCACTTTCACACACAACATGAGTTCAGTGTGAGGAGTGATCTATAAAGAGCATATCCCAATTCTCCCAATTCAAATAGTACATGAACATAACAGCTAAAATGACTTAAGTAAATGACTTATTGCTTCTTATTTTGCAGTTGGATGAAATTGAAATCGGGTCAATTACCATATTCATGCATATTTTACTATTTAATTAGTTTATGCACTAAACAACATGAAAAAAGTTAGGGTAAATTACAAAGACCCCCCTGTACTATGGGGTCTATGACAAAGACCCCCTTGTACTTTGTTTTGCGATAAAGACCCCCCTATACTATGACCGTGAGACAAAGACCCCCTTTTGTTAGCCTTCTGTCCAAAAAAGCCATTACAATATTTTTAATCCCCATACTACCCTTATAATAACTAGGAGAAAAACATTGTTCATCTTCCCCATCCTTCTGATACCACCCTTCTGTTCCTTCACATTTCTCTCTTTTCCTCTCTCTCCTCTCTCTCCCGTGATCTCTCTTCTTGCCCTTCCCCTTAACAGTGTCAGGATTGAACCCATTTAATTCAATCCCGATCTCTCTCTCCATTGAGCTGGGGACAACGTTCCAACGCCTTGTGGAGCCTCTAAAAACCAATGAACAAAATACATCTTTTCATTGCTTCTCTTATGTGAAACCATTTACAGAAGATACATGTTTTTGGCGTATGTAGTCCACGAGTCCAACCACGACGTGATGCCGGCTCCGGCTCGTGGAGTCAACTGATCATTGTAGCCTCAGCTGATCGTTGAATTCCCCCATATTGAATTGTTAAGAGAAAGATTTGCCAAGTTTGTCGATTGTAGCCTCAGCTAATCGCTGAATTGCTAGAATGACTACTGATTGTTCTCCATTTTTCTCCTTTGATGATTCAAAGATATTTGAGCAGAGAGGGAAAGGGAGTCCTGAGATGGAGATAAATAAAAAAAAAAAGAAGAAAAGAGGAACAAAGTAAATGAGGCCGATAATCTAATGAATGTTGGAAGAAGTGAGGATATATAGGAAAGGATAAGAGGATTGAGATGGGAAGGGGAGAGAAATTTCAAGGGTAGAGAGAGGGGGGAGGGAGGAAATAGGTTTTGTTCCGTGTAGATTTGTCAAATCGGATAAAATCAAAAGCTTGGAAAGGAAATCAGCATAGTCTACAGATTTGGTAGTTAGTAAGTAGTCGATGGGCATGATGACGCCAAAACCGCGCATCTTCTGTAAATGGTTTTGGTAATTAGTAACTAGTCGATGGGCGTGATGATGCCAAAACTGCATATCTTCTGTGAATGGTTTTGGTAGTTAATAAGTAGTCCCCGAGTCCAACCACAATGAACACATTTAGATCGGGATGTGATGTTGGCTCCGGTTCCAGCTCCACAAGTGCTACAAGAGGAGTCTTCGATTCCGTTTTGGGAGAGTTGGGAGAGAGAAAGAATGAGAGAGGATGGTGAAAGAGGGGAAAATAAGAGAAGAAAGGGAAAACAATAGGTTTTAAGAGAAAATGGCAAAAAAAGAAAATAGAAAAAGTTTAGTAGGGTATTTTGGTAATTTAACACATCCTGTCATCTGACTTAGCAGTCAATGGGGGTCTTTGTTATAGACCCCATAGTACAAGGGGGGGGGGGTCTTTGTAATTTACCTAAAAAGTTATTCAGTTCACCCACTTCAGTAGTTATCGAACACCTAGATGACCCAACCAGTAGTAAACCTGACTCATTTTAAATTTTCTTCCCCATTTCAACATCTTAAAACTAGGGGTGGCAACGAATCGAGCTTTTCACGAGCTATTCAAGCTCGGCTCGGCTCGGCTCGGCTCGTGAGGCGAATATATATATATTAAATAAAATATTACAATTTTTAATTTTTTATATATAATTTTTATTTTTATAAAGTATTTTTTCTCAAAATCAAATTTGAACCGAACTCGAATTTATGCATTTTTTACTCAAACCACACTCAAGCTCAAGGTTTTGGCTCAAACCAAGCTCAAATTTAAGCTCGAGCCTGGTACTATTCGACTCGACTCGACTTGAATCCACTACTATTAAAACAGAAAGAAACCGCCCGGCAAATCTATACCGTCAAACCAACGCAGTTACGCAGATCTCCCACCCAAAATCCAACCGGACGAAAAACCCAAAGCCCTTCCCCGAAAGATGTAGACGGGGTTCTGTCAATCTATGAAAACAATGAGGGTATTTAGGTAAATGAGATCCCACTTACCACAACTTTTCCGTCAAAATTAATGGAAGCAAAAGACGCGCCTCTTCGTGGGAAACTATAAAATGATTTACCACGTCATCCGACCGCACGTGCGGGGTCCTTCAAAAGAACCAGCTTGAGGCGTCGTCTCCTTTCAGTTCCCTTTCCCTCCTGCTTAAGGGTTCTCTACTTCTCTCCCCCCTCTCTCTCTCCCCTTCCTTCCTCTTTAATTTATTCCTGCAAAAAAGAAAAAAAAAACCAAAAAATATAATAAAAAGGAAAAAAACCGAAAAAAGAAAGCCAGAAGAAACCCTAGTTTTCTATCACCTTTAGTGAGTCATCGTCAATCAAAACTCAAACCTTGAAACCAGATATCTCTGTATCGGTTTGTGTTTGTATCGACTCTTTTTTTGTTTTTTGTTTTCAATCGTATTGTTCAATCTCCGATACTGCAATGGCGTCTGTTCCTCCACCAACGGCGCAGCCAATCCAGCAGCAGTCTCAGCAGCAGCAGCAGCAACCACCGCAAGTACAGACGCCTGTGGCGTTCACCAACGCTTCTCTGTACGTTGGAGATCTCGACCCTTCGGTTGGTGAAGCCCAGCTCTATGATCTGTTCAGTCAGGTTGCCCCAGTTGTTTCGGTTCGTGTTTGCCGAGACCAGATCAGGAGGGTCTCACTTGGCTATGGTTATGTTAATTATAACAACCATCAGGATGGTTAGAACTTCTTGATCCTTCGTTGTATTGTCTTTTGCTTTACCTAGTTTTCTTCTGTTGTGATGATCGTAGCATAGTTTGTATGCTGTTCATGTTGCATGTCTGTATGTTAGGGTTGCAGATTAATCTAGGTTTCCGTGTTGATCGAAATGTGGAATCATCATGATTCATGTTTATACTATTTAGAGATTGTTACATACATTGGGATTTCGCTGGATTATTTGTATTTGTTTGGCCCGTTTTTATGAATTTATTTTCACCGGTTGGTTTATTGTTACTAATAATCTGCAAATTTGCCTATTGTCAATTGATTTTATTCAATCAATCGTTTACTCTTGGATACTTATTATGATTTGAAAGAAAGTTGGTTATTTCTTATTGATAAAAGAGAAATTTATGGCTACTAGTAATTTTGGAACTATTTTCTTGTGATCTCTCATGATTGTGGTCATGGAATGAAGCTGAGCTATTATGACCTGATAATTGGAGTCTTCCTCATAAGTGTCTTATAATGTATTATTTTTCATCACTAAATGGGAAAAATATTATTTTTCATCACTGAATGGGAAATAAGACCAGTGGGTTTCTCACATTCTGAATGTTATCAATTAATTGGTTCATAGAACATTTTGGTTTAGGGCTTTTCTGATTTGTTCTGGTTTTCTTACATGTGTTTGATAGCCATGAGTAATGTGTTTGCGTTTCATTTTAGTTTTGAGCTCATAAAATTATCATAAGGGAGACATCACCGAATAAATAAAGAAAAAAAAAGATTTTATATTTTGAGATTCCAAAATTACTTCATTTCTATTTTTTTCTAATACTTTCCTGTGATAACTTATTTTTAGATATAGATTTATCAATTTGGTGATGATTTAGAAACTGAAATGATCATGTCTTCCCTTTGCGAGTGATGTCCAACGACCAATCTATGTCTGTGATATACTAGTAGATTATTAACCCTTTTATTGCTGAAATTCCTCTGTAATATATACTTTTCTTTTCTTCTTTTCCTAGGACAAAAATAGAGGCTTCACCCCTCTATTCTCTGAAGTTCCTTTTCTTTCTTCCATGTTTTTCATGAATATGTTGATTTTCTATGTTTTAAATGAAGTTTATACATTTTTTTGAATATTATAGGCAAATTAATAGTGAAAGATGGTTGTTGCTGTTATGGAACCTAAGGAATTACCTTAGGATTCATGTTTTTTCTTCCAAATAAAAAAAAAAAGAATCACCTAGGTGACAATTAACAATGAAAAATGGGTTTTGTTCCAAAAAAAAAAATCACCAAGCCTTTGCCTCAACGCCTTGAAGACTATGCCTCTAAGGTCCACTCCCTTGATCAAGGAATACAAAGACAGCTTAACATATGGAGCAATGAGTTCACATGGCCACATCATTCTTTTGATCCTCCTATAAAACATGACATGCAATCAACCAAATGAAAAACCAAACCACCCATCACCCAATGTGTGCTTGCTTGGGTCATTTGGTTTTGATGTGTTCACATGGCACACTAACAAAAAATCAAGTTATCTAATGAGTGCATCTTGTTGTTGCTACCCCAAATGGCACACAAACAACCCACTAATATATGAAAAAATAGAGATTGCCTCTAGGGCCTACTACCTTACTATGACAATTTAGAAACACCAAGGTAGCTTAACATGTTGAACAATGAGTTCACAAAACACAAGCAAGCTATCAATCAAATGAAAAACCAAATCATTGAATGAGTACATGCTTGGGTGATTTGGTTTCAATGAACTTGCATGGTCATAACACTTTCTTGTAACTCTATAAGAAAAATAGAAATATTAACAATCAAATGAAAAATCAAATCACCTAATGACTGCATACCTTTTTCTTACATTAAACGATACAAAACAACCCACTAATATATGAAAAAATAGGGACCTCTAAGGTCTACTACCTTACTATGACAATCAAGAAATGCCAAAGTTGCCTAACATGTGTTGTACATGTTTACATGATTTCTTGTGACCTTCCAATAAAACACTTAACATTTTATCAATTAAAAGAAATACCAAATCACCCATTGAGTGCATGCCTAGGTGACATGCTAATAATCAAATTTAAAACCAAATCACCTTGTGAGTGCATGCCTATGTGATTTGGTTTTGATTAGTCTACATGGTCACAACACTTTTTTGTTGTCTCTACCTCAAGTAGGGGTTTGAATTGGACCGGATTTGGTCCAATCCGATCTGGTCCAATATGAGTCCATTACAATTGGATGAGTTCCAATCCAATCCAATGAACACTTGACCAGTCTGTTCAAATTGGTTTTAACCATCAATGCACTCAATGTTGGTCCAATCTGACCCAATCCAAATATCCAATATAAATCCATTGCTCCATCCAATCCGTCCAAATTGATTTTGTTTTGACTGGGATCCAACCCAAAGCTATTACAGTGAACACCCCTAACCCCAAGTGGTATATGGACTACCCACTATCCTATGATCCACTACCTTACTATAAATCAAGAGATTACTACCTAATTTTGACAATCAGGTGGTACCAAGGTAGCTTAACATGTAGAGTGACACCTAGGCAATAAAGCACTCATGGAGTGTCGTCTCACTTAATCGCCAAACTATTCATTTTGAGTTAAAATACTAGTTTCTTTTTATTATTTTTCTTACTTGTTAGGATTCAGTCAATACGTATACTGTCTTAAACCCTTGAAGAGCTCAAAACCTGAACTGATAAGCATGGATGCACTTAAAACCCCCTCTATCGTAGGTGATGCCTAGGTGCCTGACCAGGCAACTAGGTTACAAGGTGCCCCCCTATCACTAGGCCTGTTCATGGGCTAGGCTTGTTCTTCGCTTTTGCCAAAATTCTAATGGGCCCAGCCTGAAGCCTGAGCCCAAAACAGTGTAAAGTCGACCCCGAAGCCCTGCCTGTGAACATGTCTACCCTTTGCCTAGCCTCACCTCGGCACCTTGAAAACTATGGGTGGTTTGGCCTATTGTGACAATCAGATCTCTCTTCTCCTATAACATCTTTTTTTTTTTTTTTTTTTCAAAAATAGGAAGTCGTTTTGGCAAACTAACATATTGTCTTGTCCACTTCAAGATGGTTGTAACATCAGCATCATTAGAGTTCTTTTTCTTTTTAGTTTTTCTTGTGGCATCTAATAAATCCAAATTTCTTCTTTTTTCCTTTGTGCCCTGAATGGTAAGTTATGCTTAATTTTTCTGAATAAAGTTAGTTGAGCAGTTTGGAACATGATGGTTGCAATTCCTGTTTATTGATTTTTAAGCTATTTTCTATCATTTAGTATCTTCGTCTTGATTTTTTCCAATTATTTATTGCAGCTACTAATGCTTTGGAGCTCTTGAATTTTACACCCATTAATGGGAAGCCTATAAGGATTATGTTCTCACATCGAGATCCTAGTATTCGAAAAAGTGGATATGCCAATGTTTTTATCAAGAACCTTGATACATCAATAGATAACAAAGCATTGCATGATATTTTTGCTTCTTTTGGCACTGTCCTTTCTTGCAAGGTGGCCACTGATAACAATGCTCAATCAAAAGGATATGGATTTGTACAGTTTGACCAGGAGGAGGCTGCACAGAAGGCCATTAAACAGTTAAATGGAATGCTGATAAATGATAAACAAGTATATGTTGGTCTTTTTGTTCGCCGTCAGGAAAGGGATAGAACAAATGGATCATCAAGGTTCACTAATGTATATGTAAAAAATTTATCTGAAGCTATTACAGATGAGGACCTTAAGAAAGTTTTTGGCGCTTATGGTCCTATTACTAGTGCGCTTGTTATGAAGGATTCAAATGGAAAATCGAGAAGCTTTGGTTTTGTGAATTTTCAGAACCCAGATGATGCTGCTTCTGCAGTTGAGAAGCTAAACGGAACTACTTATGATGACAAGGTTTGGTATGTTGGGAAGGCTCAGAAAAAATCCGAGAGAGAAGCTGAGTTAAAGGCTAAATATGAACAGGAAAGAAATGGTAGGCTGGAAAAGCTACAAGGTGCTAACTTGTATCTAAAAAATCTTGATGATACCATTGACGATGAGAAATTGAAGGAGTTATTTTCTGAATTTGGCACAATAACATCCTGCAAGGTATCACGCTTAATGAAGCATTTGGATTTCTTTTGTTGCTGTTTAAAATTCATGTATTTATGGTGTTCTTTTCCATTCAGGTCATGCTTGATCCTCAAGGACTGAGCAAGGGATCAGGTTTTGTGGCATTCTCTACCCCAGAGGAAGCTACCAGAGCTGTAAGCTTCTATTCCCTTTTCTATGCACTTCTTTTAATTAATATATCGGTACATGCACCCTTCTTCCATATATTTGATGTCATTGAAATTTATGCAGGTAAATGAAATGAATGGGAAGATGATTGGACGGAAGCCTCTGTATGTTGCTGTGGCCCAAAGGAAAGAAGAAAGAAAGGCACGGCTTCAGGTGATCTATTGCAAATCTTTGGTGGAAAATAGTTTATTTTAGTTATTGCTCTGTCTCTTGCCTTGCAGAAATCATATTCATGTTTGGTGAGAGAAAATAGTTGGGTAAATAAACCATTTATTACAAGGATGATACTTTCTAATTCTTTGGTGTATTTTATATATGGAAGAATCTATATGCTTCCAGAGAGACATTATTACAAGGTCTTGTGACACCAATTACTTTTGCATATGTTTGATGTATTTGATTCCTGGTTCCAGCTTCTTGTATTCTTAACTACTCATTGAACATGGGATTCTCTTGGTTGATTGAAGTGAACACATCCCTGTATTTAATGCTAATGGAGGTTCAGCTATTTGTTATATTCTATTACAGGCTCACTTTGCTCAAATCCGAGCACCTGGTGGAATGGCACCTGTGCCGTCAGGTATGCCTGGGTTTCATCCTGGTGGCCCTAGGCTAACTCCTCAGCAGCTGTATTTTGGTCAAGGTACTGGTCTGATCCCACCTCAGCCGGCAGGGTATGGGTTCCAGCAACAACTCTTGCCTGGAATCCGACCTGGTGTTGCTCCAAATTTTATTATGCCATACCACCTCCAGAGGCAAGGACAGCCTGGACAACGAATGGGATTAAGGCGAGGCGGAACCCCACAACAGATGCAGCAGCAGGTGCATTATTGTTGTTCTTCACCTTTCATTTGTAGTAAAGATAATTGAGAACGTACTTAGCCCCATGCCCCCAAAAAACAATCTGGTGATTGTGTAATGCATACACCATCTACTGTGTCTGTGTTTGTGCAGGCATCAGTTATTGTCTAAATTGGTGATTTTTTTACTTTTAGTTGATACAGCGTAATGCAAATCAAAGCTTTAGATTCATGCCAAATGCACGGAATGGAGTTGAGCCATCTATGGTACCTCAGGGCCTTATGGGTCCAATGATGCCTTTGCCACTTGATGTTTCTGGGATGCCTGTGTCTCCAATGGATGTGTCACGTCCTGGACCAGTGCCGATAACAACTCTTGCTTCTGCTCTAGCTTCTGCAAGCCCAGAACATCAACGCTTGGTATGTAAATTTTCCATTATAATGCATTGATTGATCTTGTGCTCTTTTGTATTGCTGAAACATATATTTTTTGTTTTTATTTTGCAAAAATTTTAGATGCTTGGTGAACAACTGTTTCCTCTTGTGGAACGTATTGAACACGACCTTGCTGGGAAAGTCACTGGGATGCTGCTGGAGATGGATCAGACGGAGGTCCTCCATCTCATAGAGTCTCCAGATGCACTGAAGAAAAAGGTTGCTGAGGCGTTGGATGTCCTCCGGTTAGCTGCAACTGGCTCGGATGCCTCTGACCAGCTTGGTTCACTGTCATTAAATGACTAAATCAATTTGTTTCTATTGGTGTGTGCATTCCTTTTTGTGTGCTCGGGGCCCAATTTTTTTAAACAGGGCATGGTGAGTTGTCTTTGTTTGGGATTTCCTCCGAACTAATTTTATATATAGGTCTATGGGATTCTTTTTGGTGAGTTTGAGACTGTTCTCCGACATTTGTCAGCGACTTTTAGGATTTTATGGTAATTTGCGATGGATACTTGTTATTATATTATTCCTCTCCCTCCCCGTCTGTTTTTGTGGTAGTTCAAAACTTATGTTTACCTTTATTCAATAAATTGAGTAATTAAATCTATAAATTATCATAATATATTAATATATAGTTTAAAATTCTTATTATAATTTCAACCAAGGTTCAAAATATTGATATGCGGTAGTCGATGTATCGAGCAGTTTTGATAGTATTTTATTTTTTCAGTTTTTTTTTAATCTGGTTTAAAGGGGCTGGTTTAAGGTTTGTTTACCCTCTGAACCGGTTGAGACCTTGAAACACCCCCTGTATCGGGAAGCTCCTGATACGATACGTATTTGAACCTTGATTTAAATTTAATAAATATTACCTTTTAGATTAGTTATTATACACATTAAATTGAAGAAAAGTGACCAAATCACCTAAGGGCCCATTTGGTTCATAAGAATAGGGGTCTAGAATCGAAATCCAAATGGGCTATTCCAATTCCAATTGTTTGGTTGGGTGAAATCAGAATCACATTCCCATTCTTGGTAGAATGGTATTCCAACATTTGAAGGATCCCTTTCTCTTTTGAATGAAATCCCATTCCAATTGATTCTGATTCATGTCTAAACCCAGTAGATTATGGGAGTAGATCATTTTGATTTTAATTCCTAAGGATTTTGATTCCAATTCTAAAACCAAACGGGACCCTTGGCTCCAATTGAAATGGAATCATCTTCCCAAGGGAGGGGGAGGGATTGGCCCATTCCCTCGAATTGGGGAATGCCATTCCACTGAGATTGGCTTCTATTAGGGCACACAAGTACGGAGATATTCTCAATGTAAGGTAGTGAAGGCTGCTCGAACAGGCTTTGCCCTAATTGAAGCCGAACTCCATTCCACTAAGAATGGGAATGGGATTCCAGTTCCACCTAACCAAAATTGGCCTAGGTGGAAGTTAGTTGCTTCTGTACAAGACTGCTTAGGAAACTTTACATATTTCTTTATTGATCAAAAAAATCTACTTCAAGGGCATATAGCCTTATAATTGAGTAGGGATGGCAACTTCCACCCAATCTAGTGGGTAACAACTCCGGGAGGTGGGTTTTGTTTGAAAAATTGATTTTGAGATTTTACAACCCATATGGGTACAAGTAGGATGCAATGTTAGGATAAGCCTGATGCTCCTGATAAATAAATAAATAAATATATATATACATACATATTTGCATGACCAAATTACCCTCAAAGGGCCTATTAATCTTAATAAATATGTTTAGGACAAAATTATCCCTGGCCTGGGCACGGGCCTGCACTAGGCCTACACATTTTAGAGTTGGGCCTGAGCCTAATATTTCAAGCCCAGCCCTGGCCTGACCCATCCCACATATTTAAAATATATGCATAATTGTTAAATATAAGCTATCAGGGGTGATTTTATCATAAAAATATTTAATAAGATTGACTGGCCACTTTAGGGGAGTTTGGTCATATAAAATACTTAAGTGCTTACATGGAAAACTTCTATTAATGCTCACTAAATGGAAATCTAGTAGAATGTGAATTTTGGACAATAAAACTCACTGACAGGGGACTCTCTAGAAGTGGTAAGTTTAAGAGAAATGTGAAAAAGTCATGATGAATTTTAGATAATACCCTTAGTGCTTATAATTAAATTACTAATATACCAAAGGATATTACAAGTTTTAAATTGAAAACCCAAAGCCTTTCTCACCCACCTAGATTTTATGCATTATAAACTTACAATATCGAAATGTTCCAGATGTGTGGCTGAAAGTGGTGTGATCATCCTGTGACTAAATCTGAACTCTATTAACTTATGCATTATGTGTCAAATTTAATAATGTTTTGAATCTTATCACGGATAATTGACAATTTGCATTTTCTACATTTTTCGATCAAATATTTGAAAGATTTGATGTTTGTTCATAGCATCTTGCTTGTTTATTACTTAACAAAAAAAATTGGTGTTAATTCTGAACCTGACCTACGAAGTACCAACCCAACCTGCCCCACCTTCAAATGCAGACACGGTGGGGATCAGGAATGGTTTGGATTTTAAAAATCCAATCTGCTGTGGGTTTCAAGAGGGTATGGGTTGGGAGGTTTGGGGAGATGAGGAGAGTAACATTTACAAAACTCTATCCAAACCCGCCCCATTGTCATTTCTAGGTTTAGGTGATGAAAAAACAAGTATACTTGTGGCTTGTGGCAGGCAATACAATGACTAAACCACTACTTCAAGAAATGCTCATAGTAATGGTGCATGTGACATTTCGCATCAACATTGCACTATAGTACACGCGCATCTGGACTTTAATTCTGGGATTAGGGATTGTCATCATTTCTATTTACCGTGGAACAAACTTACACCTATAAGATTGATTACTAGCTTACTGCGACTAGTCAGTAATTACTGCTCACTTAGTTGTGAATCGCATGTCAGGATTCTATTTAAGTTACTAACGTTGAACTCTTTGGAACAAATGATAAAAGTCCCGATCTGCTTCAACATGGCTGTTTCTCCAGTAGTATACAAGCTGGACAATCACTCAGCTGATGGAAAAAACAGTAAAGCTAAGCAAAACTGTATATATAGAGCAGATCCTGACTCAAAACAATAAACCTGTTCCAACATCTCACCTTCCATGAGCCACAGCAATACAAGGGTAATGGAGAAAATGAACATCAGTCTATAACTCACAATTCACCCATGCCAACTGGTTGATTGCTAAATTTATTTTTATCTATTTAACCCTCTCATTTGGAGGCCAAGCATTCTTTTCTAGCAAACTCCAATCAAACTGAGATGCAGAACATTTCTTACAGGAATTGTTAGTTCTGAAATGAGATTGTGCAAATGGTGCCCTCAGTCAACTCCTGTATCAGATGAAGTTTCGGATGTCCAATGACTTGACGTCAACCATTTCCTCGTCCTTGAACTCCTCCCTGGAATAGGACAAAAATCAATTTATAAATAACAAATCTACAAACATCGTGGTAAATGTAAACATAGCATGATTTGAAATCCAAGCCAAATATGGCTTTTAGTCATTCAAGAAAAGAGGGTGGGCAGTTACGTAAAATATCTTAATTGTTTCTAAGCTATCATGTAACTATGTAAGCATTCAATTGAAATCAATCTATCAGGATAATATGGGGCTTATAAAAGTAAAGTGGATTGTGAATGTACTAGCAAGTGGCATCATACCGTTTCTTCTGAGTTTCCATGGCTTCAAGGGCATCTTTCTTCAGCTCTTCCAACTGGGCTTTAGCAATTTTGAGCTCCAACTGTTCCTCATACTTTGGCAAATCTTCCCTCCGAATGCCAAGCCTAATTATATTGACAAGTAGAGAAAGAGCAGTAAAACTATGTACAGTCATTCTGTTCTATATCCCAGAAACTAGGGAAGCAACAACAAGGACAACAGATGTGATCATTAGTAGTATGGCACCTTTTTTTTTGACAAGTTAGGTGCCTTTCTTGTCATCTAAGTAATTGGACATTAGGCAATGGTAATTTATTGGATATGATTTATGTTGACATGTGCCATATTTTTAATGTATAATTATTTTTGTATTTTGTAATGAAAAACTAAAGAAAGCTTTGTAACTTTTCAAAGACTTTTCTTATACTGACTTCACTAGAGGATGGAGTGCCATAGCTGGTTCCTCATCCTTTTCTCCTATGGTACAGGAAAGTTGGACCCCGCCACGTTGCTTTAGAGTGAAACTGAATTTTGATGGAAGCTTTCCAGGAAACCCAGGCCCCTCAGGTATAGGGGGTGTCTTCAGAGATGAGTGTAGAGTGTTGGCCCTTTACTCAGGTCCTTTAGGGGTTGGAGATTCCTTAAGGGCAAAAGTTTTCGCCTTACCCCAAGGTCTCAGGTTGGCAAAACAATAGGGAATGCAACAGTTAGAAGTGGAGGGAGATTCCAAACTGGTAATAGGCTGGATGCAAGGAAGAAGCTTGGGCATGTGGCTTTTCAGACAACAGATTAGAGAAATCTTGAGATTAGCAAGAGAGATTGGGGTGCAGTTTAAATGGGCAAGAAGTTCAGCAAATGGAATGGCTGATGCTTTAGCTAAGCAAGGAGTTAATAAGCACAGCGAGTTGTTTTGGGCTTGTTTGTAAGTCTGATTTTGTCAAAGGGCTGTCCATCCAGCCTTTGGATGGTGACAGTTGTATCCTATAACTAAAGAAAAGAAAGCTAATAATAATGAATTTTGCATATCACATGTAAGACATTATGTTATTGATTTTTTACTTGGAAAAATCACTTTTAATCATGCCTTTCTGCCTTGCTAAAAGAACAGCCAACCTACTGATATGTACTCAATTGTAAACTGTTATTAGCTCCCCAAAATTTTACTTCCTTCATAATGTCTATATTTCCAAGCACCTAAAATGTTTAGAGGTTCCCTTGGAACCTAATGTAAGATTTATTGGGGTAGATATATGCCACTTTACCATCTTTTGTAAATTTGTAAATTCTGTTTAATATGCTCAATAAAATTTGATTATTACCGATTTAAAAACAAAATTATCCAGGATCATTATCAGTGCATAAGGCATGCCTTGTACTAATGTAAACCTTTCCTTTAAAACATGTGGGGAAGAAATTCACGACAGTATCAAATTCACTACAGGTGCATTTATCCAAAAAAATTCACTATAGGTGCAACAAGTTAAATTATGTCACAAGAACCAAGAAAAAGGGTCAACCAGTAGGATTCAAATTCTGGAGTGAAACTTACTTCTTATTGATTGTATCAAATTCGTTCATAAGAAGAGCCATCCCCTTCTTGTCAGACCTCAGAAGTGGCTTCTTGATCTCTTTCTCAACTTTCTCCAATGCATCCATCATCATAGCCTCTGCACCAAGGTCATCAGTGAGGCCTCTCCTGCAAAAGATGTTAAATAATACATTAGGTGTAACCTTTTTTGTCCCCCTTTTCTTTTTGTGGATCAATTACATGACACAAAACCAGTAATATAAGAAGTCATGAGTTAAGTTTCATTGCAAGCCATATATAGATGTGAAATGCATAATCAAGTCATTCCTTCACTAGTAAATGCAACATCAAATAGAAAAGTAGAAATCGATGGTCTATCCCCAACTTTCAAAAACATTCATAAACAAAAATCTGGTTGGAGAAAGATCATGGTAATAAGAAGAATAATCTAAATAGAAAGTTAATAAACATTAAAAGTCAGATGGATGAGCAAAAACAAAAGTCAGGGGGATATAACAGCACATACTTGATTCGTATCTCCTTCAATGTCAACAGATACGTTCGAGCATCTTGAATACCTTGTGTGCGTGTCTGAATTGTGTGCTGAATCCGTTGGGATTCTGAGAACAAGTCTGCCCTGCAAGTTGGACATGGAAAGGCACGCAAATGTATCACTCAATGGCACAATATTATTGTGACAATAGAAAAGTGCAAATTGTCTAATGCATTGATGCTGAAGTGCCAAGATAAGTGAGTTGACTTGCAGGACATTAGATGAGAAGACACCTATGAACAATTTGCTAATCATAAAAAAAGCCGTGAGAAGACACCTCTGACAAGTCAGCATTTTTTTGTGAAAATTATGGTCTACCCCACCTCACAAATTTCCATTTATTTATTTATTTTTAGTTTATTTTGCAAAATGCCCACTTATCACCCACCTCTGTTTGTAACAGTGAAATTTGGGAGGTGGGGGAATCAATATTTGCCCTATTTTTTTTATCAGCAATAATGATTAATTTATTAAGTAAATATATGTGAGATTACTACAAATTGATGACCAAAGTGTCATCCCCAAAAAACATAACCAATATGACAAAGAGGCCAAGTACAGATGCTGCCTTGCAGCCCCTTGTTTAGCTAAAGTATCTCTGCTAACCCATTTGCACTCCTAATCCACCTGAAATCAACATTTGTATCCTTCGCTAACCTTTCAACTTCCCTGAAAATATGTTTAGAAGTTCATGGAATATGTCTTTACATTTTGCCCAATAAATAAGTACTTTTGAATCCCCTTCCACTTCCACCTGTCAAAAACTCAATTGCTTTGCTAACCAGTCCTTGTAGTAAAGCCAGTAACTCAGCCTTCACTGAGTTTGTAATGCCAATTGGTCCTGTGCATAGAGCCAAAATCTTACTCTCCAAGTTCCTGATTGCTCCACCTATTCCTACCATTCCCGGGTTGCCCAAGGAGCTTCCATCAAAGTTCAACTTTACTTTGCTAACCTCTGGCAGTTTCCACTCTGCTCTTAGTTTATCTTTTTCTCTAGATGACTGTGCTATTTGCTTATTTCCTTCTATGCCCTTGGAATGTCAGTAACTGAGAAAAGCTGAAAGCTGTCTAATGTTTTTATCCACAAGGCAACCCTCGCTTTTATACTGTCAATTACCTCCTCCAAAGTCCTACTCTTTCCAGCAAAAATTCTGTTATTCCTTTTCTCCCACACCACCCAAGCAATAGCTGCCTTAGTGACTCTCCGATTTATTCTTCCTCTCTTCTTTTGTTGCCTCAAGAAGTTTGGATTGAAAATGTCCGTCACCTCTTGGGGAGAGTCCCACATTATTCTTATCCCTACCTATATTCATGGAAAAAATTTTGGCCTAAAAGATGTTGCTACATTTCAAAATAAGCCCTTTCTATGGACAAGTGCAAAATTAAAAAATATAAGTTCAAGTGGCTAATATTAGTTAGGAAACCCACCAATACAAGGTGGGATAATAGAAATGATGTGGAATGTAGGATGAAACTTGTGGCCAATACATAAAGGTCCCTTGCAGGAGAGGACAGTTTGGATCAGAAATTTTATCCACCCACATAGCACTAGTAGTCTAGGCTGTATAGGGAAGCTCCTTACTTGAGCCAGAGATCAAATCTTTTTCCATTTATGCCACATCTATGAGACCCATAATTTAACAATGGATATGGCGCTGAACAGAATGGAATGGTGAAACAGGATGCAAGCTAACCCACATAGTTGGGACAAGGCTTACGTGATGATACCACGTCTCTCAAAGAACCATTCAACCTAAAGGCTTAAGCTATTAGGTGAGGTCCTTGAATAGGTTGATATTATTTAACATGCCCCCTCACACGAAAGCCCATTGGGCTTGAAGAGTGAACAAGCACCAGCCCACCCATACCTTGTGCCGAAACTTAATTAATTATAATAGGGGTAATGAGGATCGAACACTAGACCACTTGGCCAAAGTGGCTCTGATACCATCTCCAAGAACCATTCAACCTAAAGGCTTAAGCTATTAGGTGAGGATAGGTTGATATTTTTTAACAACGTCCAAATCAAGGAAGAAGATGTAACAAAGAAAAAGAATAATGACATATATAAACTATAAAGCAGATAAAATAATGACATGTAAACAGAAGCTTTCATTCCCTCATTTTCGGTCAAACTGAGGCATTTGATGCATAAATGTGGACCAACAGGGGTTAAACATATTCCCCAGGAATTCCTTTTTTATGGTCAAAAAGAATTTATGAACTGATAAGAAAAACTGGTTCATTGGCACCAAGAAAATTGCTGATACCAGTTGCATGATAACTTTGTACGCTGTAGATAACCCATGCTCTGGGATAAATGGTCAAAGCTCTGGATCAATGTGACCGACCAACATGAAATATAGAGACATTTACGAGCACAATGTCAAGTTGTCAACTATATCAAATGAAGATCTACAGCATTTATGTTCACAAAAGATCCCAAGTTCAAATGAAAATGCTTACTTTTCTCTCACAGTCTTCATGACCTTTGCATACTGAGCAACTGCAGCTGGATCATCTGGATCTATTGTGATCTTCTCCTTCCGTAGTACACCCAGGGCTGTATCGAACTTCTTCTTAACCTCCAAGAAGATGTTCTTCAACATCTCTTTTACCCCAAGTGCATGTATAAAAGTCAGGAAAATAGATCATAGAGAAGCTGACATGTAAACAGAAAACCAAAAATGCCACTCACCATCTCCCTTGAGAGCAGGAGGTGCTGCTGGTGCTGCTTGTTTGGCAAAGAAACGGGCTGGAACAATATGGTCCTGTTGTAGAACTATCTGACCAGCATACAACTGTGAAGGCATAATAATCAGACGAGACAGAGCTAGTAACTAGTAAAAGAAAAAAAAGAAGAAGCACAAATTCAAAGAATTAAGCGGAATAGAGTATAAAATGGGACACCGGATACTGGCTATGGACAAATTGAAAGTTGCATCTGAGGCTTAATGCTGCTTAAGAAAATGTTAACCTTTCAATAGAAAAAGGACAAAAAGAAGATAAGAAAAATCAGAAATCAGTAATTCCTTCAGGATTGCAGATATTGACATCAGTATGACATGTTTACTGGCTATTTATAGGCCTTTATATGGTGGAATGGAAAACCAGGATTTATGCAGTTGAGCTATTGTTAGGACTTAGAACCACTTTGGAGTTAAATAATTTTAAGACATAATGAGGCATCATCTGGTAAAATGAAAAAATAATGCCTAAATCCACTCAAATAATCAACCAAGTTGAAGTTTCACAAGTTTATCTTCTTACTACATGTTTTTCTTAAGGGACCATATTTCTTCCAAGTGCTAATATCATTGTTCCTTCTATTTGGACTTGATATTTCCATCTGAAGACTTTTAAGCATTTTAAATTGGATGTAACGAGGTGTTTTAAACATATGGTGCTCAGATGATAAAATCATTGTAATCATCTTTACAATTTTTTTCTATCATACCAGAGACAAGAGAACTTTCATAGGTTAAAGGGCTAAAAGGACTAGGAGAAGGTCAAGTAGGCGAGTTGAAGTTGTAGGAAAAGACCAAAGGACTATGAGTTAACAGCAGCTTTTCTTTCTCTTTCAGTTTTTGATAGGTAAAAATTAATTGTGTTAGCATATAATAGGGGTAAATTGCTAAAACATCCCCTTAGGTTTTGGACCATTTCTGAAACCTCCCCTGAAGTTTGGTAATTGCAAATTTGCAATCACCTCACCTAAACTTTTTGACACAGTTGCAAGTGGACACCCTCTGTTAGAATCCTCTAACAAGAAACATGAAAACGTCCAAAATACCCATGTAGTTACTTTGACCAAAGTGTTTATTTTCCTAATTTTCTATTCATATCAATTGCTACCCCAAGCACTTCCAATCTCTTTTCCAAAATTGATTTAATTTCCAATTTTGCCCTTCATATCAATTGCTCAAAGGTAAAGCTGCAACTTTAAACTCTCTTTTTTTGTTGTTGTTCATAAAGTTTGTATTGTTTTTTACTGTAGAAACCAACCTCAATAGTAATTGCATGGGTATTTTGGACATTTCCATGTCTCTTGTAAGAGGATTTTAACAAAGGGGGTCTACTTGCAACAATGTCAAAAAGTTCAGGGGGTTTCAGCAATGGTGAGAAACTTCAGAGGAGGTTTCAGCAATTTACCCTATAATAGGGGAACATGATTTGTTTAGTAACCCCTGAATAAGGCTCAATTAAGTTATACTGCATCCACGATCCACCATCATTATACTCTTCAAATACTGAAACAAGTGGACTTGTCATGTAGGCCATGAAGAGAAGAGTATCTTAATTGAAAGAAACACATGGAACTATTGAAAACAAAGTACCATGGCTTTCAGACCAAGAGGCTGATCAAGGCAACAATAAAAATCAATTGCCAGCCAAAGTCAATGAATTAATGCAGGAAAAGGTCCTGGATCTTTAAACCCATGGGGAGAGCAATGCAGTGGACCATGAAAACCATAAAGGCTAAAAACTTTTCTCCAAAGGCCCAACTAGATATCATCAAGATGTACCAGCAATCTCTTTTCCAAAATCCACAACAGCTATGCCTAAAACTTTGTACACGATCTCATTGCTTTGGGGTAAAAAGAATGTATAAATAACTTGATTAGTACCCTTGTAGCAAAACAATTCTTAACTTTTTTATGGGTAAAAGTTCATAGTTCCTTTTAGTTGTTAGTACTTAATGGTATTGCATACAATGAGAGTGAAAATTCTGAGTTTAGATTTGTTAGCTTCCATTAGTTTCCATCTATGTTACCTAGATGTGGTTAGGACATGGATGAACGGGGTTTCAGATGATGAGAGTAGGACCCAAGCAGAAATCCTCGAGTTAGTTAAGCTGAAGGCTGCACATTGGGAGAAAACTTTGGATGATTTCAAAGTCTTTTCACTGAATGATATCTTGAAAACTTGGAAAGAGGTGGCACTATCGACTATAGACAAGGCAAGAACAATGTTGGAATGGAAGCCCCCAGCCCCCAATTTTATAAAACTCAACTTTGATGGAAGCTTCATTGGTAATAGGGGATTGGCAGGGGTAAGGAGAGTCTTCAGAGATAAAGAAGGCAGAGTGGAGGCTCTATATTCAGGTCCCTTGGAGCATAGTGACACATTGACAGCTGAACTGGTTAGTGTACTGCAGGGGTTAAGGCTTGCAAAACAAATGGGCTTCCACAACCTACAGGTGGAAGGGGATTCCCAAGTAGTCATCTCATGGACCAGAAATAGCTCCCAGATTCCTTGGGTATTCAGGCATAAATTCAGGGAGGTCGTAAGCCTAACAAGGGAACTAAATGCTTCCTTTAAGTGGGTAAGAAGAATAACAAATGGAATGGCAGATTCTCTGGCTAAACAAGGGGCTGTGAGAAGGCAAATATTTTGGGAAAATCTGTAATCGTTGTCAATTTCGGGTGGAAATCACACCCCAGACCTTGTGATTCCTAATCTTTCATTAATAAAATTCCTTTTCTGCTGATCACAAACAAAAAAGGTTTCAGATAGATGACACCCATGTACAGGTTTATGGGTATCATATATATAGGTTTCCATGACCATGAGACCTTCAGGTATTTGTGTAAAGCCTTATAAGAGGTTTTAAGAAAACTCGATTATAAAGATGAAGATGGTTTTATAATCTTACTTATCTTTTGCCACCAATTCTTTGGCTACAAATCAATGGATTGCTTTCCATTTCAAAGACTGTATTCTAAGGCATCAAGTATGATTTAATAACATGGGCATCTACCATGAAACTGTTCGTTGCATCTCAAGGTGTATGATTTGTGAAATACTTGCTCCTTATGCAATGTAAGTGTAGAATCAGTCTCTCATCTCTTCCTACATTGTCTTTACTCAGCTAAAATCTGGGAGCACTTAAGCTACCTGGTGGTGCCCATTGCCTTAAATTGATTTTCCAGTTTGACTGCATCTTGGCTGTTGAAGGGCCTCGACAAACAAAGCACATTCTTTGAAAACCTTATTTTATTTGCTAAATGTTGGTGTATTTGGAAGGGAAGAAGCAACCTAATCTTTGGAGGAATGGAATGCATGGTGAACCCAAGTAATAGGGATGAAAGAATGTATCAATGTACTATAAGCATCTGTTTTATCTGATACTCAGGAGCTATAGAAGAATTCCCAAATCTTTATAATGACGAGTATGATCTTTGATGGACTCTATAGTTACATCATCATCCAAGCCTTATCCCAAGTTCCCAACTATAATGGGATCGGCTACACAAGTCCTGTTTCGCTATTCTGTTCTGTTGAATGCCATATTCATTGTTAAATTATGGACCCTATAGTTACATAGTTCTATATTTTTGTAGGGAGAGGGGATCTTCCCAAATACATTTGGTGAGATGGAACTATACTTCATTCTATTATAAACCATTTCAATTGGGTGCAATTTTCTATCAACCTCCTCTTTTTTTTTTTTTTGAATATGTGAGGTATTTAGCCTCCATTTTTTTACCAGCTTCCATTTGAATGGGAATTGGAGGAACATTTCAAGATGGAGGAGGAGATCAGTATCAGTTGAATGAATTGATCTTGGTTATTCAAATGGAGAAGGGATAATAGGAAATGAAGGAATATTTAGAAATGGCTAAGTCAAACAATATAGGTGGTTTAATCTAATTCAAGTGTAGGCTATCCAGTCATTCAATGAGATGACAATCGGAGCACTTAAAAAATTGGGTGAAACAAGATTAATTTCGATTGGAGTACTCAATGTGCTTTGAAGGAGCGTATTGAAACAATAAACAAAGAATGCCAAGTTCTTTTCAAACCTTCAAGGGGAAACAGCAGCCAACAAGGGAAATTTTGATCAATTTAGGAAAAATAGAATAGTTTCAGCCTAACATTTTGGCTCATTAGACGGGAAAAAAGAGCATTAAGGACATCACTGAAAGTGGAGGAGCTTCAGTCCATTTCAAGTGGCTTTATAACGCAATACTTATCTTATGATGATAACTGGAGTTTATGGAAATGTTATCATGCAGGATACTAATGCCTCGTGCAAATAATAGAATAAAATAAAAATAAAAATAATATTTTGATACCCATCCGCAGATTTTAGAACTGCAAGTTACTCCATCGATCTCAAACCCAATTACAATCTATAATTAAATAGAAACACAAAGAAGTTTCTCCCATGTATCACCATCTTACCAGAAGTATGAAATTAGAACTGGATTTTTTTCCATAAATTTTAATCAAGTTCCATTTTATTTGCACTAGACGAATCTATCAGCAGAATTTTCCGCCGAAGCTCATCATCATTTTCCAAGTAAACGTAATCCAACAATTGTTTGGTTCACCAAATCAGGAGAAAAACATAATCCATCATCCAGAAAATGGATCTCAAACCCTAAAAAGCAATTGTTGACCATCCACATTTTCTAGTCTCAACCAACAGCATAGACGACAAAATCTTCTGCGGTTAAATACCCTAGCTCTATGTTTTCCTCATGGGGTAATCTTTCGATTTACGCTCAGAGTCTCGTAAACAAAAACCAAAACAAGAAACAAGAAAAAGAGGAAGAAATTAAAACAATGAATGCGTAATCACTTGATGTGGATTGAAGTGGATCACCTGTTTAGATCTCGATAGAATACGAGAAGTGAATGCCATGACCGGAGCTTCTGTTCTCTCGGCTGAACTTCTGTTAGGATCCTAGGTCCGTGCAAGCGAGGAGGTATCTCTCCCGCTGAAGCCCACGGTTTTACAAATTCTTCAATTCGCTGATAGAACGCGCTGTCAATTTCTAAGATCGGCCGTTTGAAAAGTACTACTGAAATGGCTGAATACGACTTAATGACTTATTGCTTTAAAGCTGTGAGCTCCTCAATCAATGGCTGTATCTGAACATGGGTTAATTACTAGAGCCAAGCGGGGGGAGATAGCAATTTCTGACACCGGATCTCCCGCCCACGAGAACATGTATAGTTGAAATAAACGTGGGAAGATTATAGTGGACAGGTTTTGGGAATTAGGGTACGGTATTAAGCTAAATTCAATCATCCTCGCCCACATTGGAAAGCATGTATTAGATGTCAAATTTAATAATATTTTGAATTTGATGTAAATGATCATTGATAGTTTATTATCAAAAAAAATTGTGTTTTTTATATTTTTAATTAAAATAATTGGAAATTTGGTTGTTTGTTTGTGTTATTTTACTTATTTATTGTTTTTATATAACGAGAAATAAAAGAAAATTAGATACGAGTTTTAAACCCAACCCATTTATATGCAGAGAGGAGATCAAATCAGCCCCCCACAAGACTTTGCCCCACAACAACTCCTGACATGTATTGGGAACATCTCCTAATGATGACATCATCATTCCTAGTACTATTATCGGGAGATGTTTCCAATACAGGGGATGTGTTGTGGGGGGCTGATTTGAAGGGTAGGGTCAGGGAGTGTTTTGCATTTGCATGTGCAATGGAGGGTTTGGATTCTCAAAATCCAACACACTACGGGATTTAATGCGAGTACGGGTTGAGAGATTTAAAAAGGTAGATAGCATCTAAAATTTACAAAACCCTCCCCAAACCTGCTTTGTTGTCATCCCTAGAGCCAAGACATGAACAACAAAAACAAAATAAATAAATGAAAAGTCTAATGTAGGAAAATAGATTTATCAAGTAAGAGAAAATAGAAGAGAGATTGGAGAATTTGGGAGTGAAAAAGGAAAAGTTTTGGGAATTATATATTTATATTATAAAAATTAAAGAGAGGTTAGCTCGATTGATCATGTGGTAGAAAAATATATGAGGTTGAAAAAACAAAATTATGAAAAATATTATCATTTTCGGTCTGCCCCCAAAATTCTAGGATTGGGCTAAGGATGGTAAGGGTGGATTGGATGCGACTATTTGCAAGACATGGCTTGAATGGCTCAATTGCTAATCGAACCAAGCTCAAATAATATAAATCTCAGCTACGAAGCTTGCAAGTTTATATATAATATTTTTTATTTTTATATGTATAATAAGAAATAACTTTTATATGTATAATTTTATTTTTCATGTATACAATAAGAAATTATTTTTATATGTCTAATTTTTAATTTTTTATATAAAGCTTGGTTCATTGTCAAGTTCAAGCCAAGCTTAAACTTGAACATATGAGCTTTTTAGTAGAATCGATTTTTAGCTCATTGAGCTCGAACAATATAATTTTTTATTGAGCCAAGCTTGAATAATCTAATATTCGTGTTGGCTCAATTGGAATCCACCCCTAGCTTGGGCCTAGGCTTTAGGCTTAAGCCTAAAAACATGTTAGCTTAGCCTAGTCTAACCTGCTTTGCCACATATTTATACATATATTATATGTGAAAAAGTATATTACAGCCAATTGCAGAATTCTAAATTTCATTGTAACTCTACATAATTTAAAATGACAAACACCCCCACCTTATAAGACTAGTACCTCCCCATGAATTGGTATCAATTCCAAGCTGACACCTACCCCAACTATACGATGGGGCTAAGAATTCTTAGGGTGTGCTAAACAATCATTCTTCCATATTATATGGCATCATCATCATCATCATCATCAAGTCTTATCCCAACCACAGCCAATCAAGAGGCTAAACCATTTTTGTCTCCATATAGTGAGTAAGTGGTTCAATCATAGGTGAAACAAGTTAGACCATGACACATCAGCATTTATGTATTATATATTTGAATAATGTATAATTACATTCTATATACACACACGTACATATATATATATATATATAATAATTTTATATTTAGTTTATACTTATATTTATAAAAAATGCTAAAATGTTGGATTTGAAGCTAAAATAGATTTTTTTTTTGGCAAAAATAATTCAATACATTGCAATGCATATGATCTAAAAAATTACTTAAGAAAAACAACCCAATTGCACAATCAAGCACGAAGTTATGGCCTCCAAAATTATGTGTTGTAAGTTGTAACCCTTAATTGGATGAGCAGATCAAATGGATCAATGGTTCAACCGCTTGAGTTGAATGAATTTTATCCATGGAAAATCTATGATGTGGGAAAGACATAGTATCGAATGAGTTTTGACCAATCAAAACTCACTCATGAATTTTGATAAATAACACCTGATTGACTATCACGTTTATGATTCCAATTGATTGGCCAGACATTTTTCAGATATCATATCTTTTCCATATCATAGTTGAACCCATGACGAGTTGGAAACATTGATCAACTATATGGGATCGGCTACATGAATCATGTTTTGTCATAGTATCCAGAAACGGCCTGGCCCATCATCACTCTATAATGTATCACATGCTTAATTTCACGTCTAAATTGAGTTTTGCATTATTCTAAAACCATGCTGACGATGATTGCGCAGTGGTTATTTGGAATTCCCTCTCTTCAGCAGAAGGCTTGTAATGGTATTATTATTTTGGATTCGGATTCGGATTTGGGGTCCATATTGAAGAGGGCACAAAGAACTAAGGATTCTTGTGTAAACATTGTAGTTTTTTTTTCAACTGCAATAATAAGAAACATTGTAATTCCTTTTTTTTTTTTCAATGAACATTGTAGCTCATTTGCAAGGAAAATTCATCTCAAAAACAGGGATGGCTTCTTTTGGGCTTTCTGACTTGAAAAATGTACATCTGGGTCCAACATAATTAAGATAGCGTTTGTTAATGTTCCATTGGATGTTATGCATAAACATTACAGTGATCCATCACAAAGAGGAGGGAGGGGCATGAATGAGGAAATCTGCATAACAGATGCAGAAGCACATATACTACCTTATAAGGCTATGTTGGTCTCTCTCTGCCTCTCTCTCTCTCTCTCACACACACACACACACACGAGGCTAGAGCTGCAACTCAATAGCTACTTTAACAGAAAGGAATGGATTCCATTGAGCGTCTAATATGGTAATAGAACCGCCAAAGTATACGCATGAGCAATTAAGTAAGAGTTGACCACCACTGAACTCTGTAGTGTATGCATAAGCATGTTCAGTGCAGCTACAAGCATAATGTCCTGGCAAGTGGCAACACTGGAAGTTTCGTAATACAATCATTTGTAAGGATGTTTTAGTTCTACATGTAATTGCCAACCAATCTTTAAACAGTTGATAGGCACTCACCTGATAATTCAATCTAATTTACACAAGTATATCCATCCTATTTTCATTTAATTTTGTTCTTAACATGAGCTTACATCTCAGCAGCAAAGGATTTGCCACAACCACAAGTCTGTGTAGCATTAGGGTTCTTGAATGAGAAACCTCCACCTATAAGTGCATCGCTAAAGTCCAACTGCATTCCATATAGGAAGAGAAGGCTCTTGGGGTCGCAAACTGCAAAATAGAAAGAAGTCACGGGGGAATAACCACATAAAAGAGATGATGCTAGAGATTGAAGTCAAATCTTGCATTAATATGAAAATTGTTATACTTTTAATGAGCAAGGACTACAAAATGATGACTCCATGTTTGAAATCTGGCCATCTCATGATGTTGCATTGATGTGTTAGGCACAAGTCGATACTACCATGTAGATAAACATTGGTTTACCATAAAACACATATTTCCAATTAATATTTGTACATAGTTCTATTTTTTTACAATTTTAAATAAAATCAAAGTATCCTTGATTTCTCTTACTTATATTGAGAAATGATGTATTTACCAGGGTAATTATTTTTTATGAGTATAATTCTTATTTAGTTGATTTAGTGCTTGTAGAGGATTTTTATCTCATTTCCGCTTTCTATTTTTCATTCAGAAACAGCAGAGGGGCTTGATTCCAGAGCACCTTATTAGAGAGGTGAGAGATTAGGCATCTATGATGAATTAAGTAGGAGTTGGGAATCAAGATTCCCTAGCAAAGGTAGCTGGGTAGGGGAGGAGTGGGGAAATCTGAATTGTAGACTCATTCTTCCCTGAGTAGTTTACGTCTATTGTTGTTTATTGCAATTTCTTTTCTCTGGTGAGTTTCCATTTCTGTCTTGCCCAGCTTGCACTGACTACTGCTGCACTTTTACTTTCAACTTAGTGACAAAAAAAGCCACCCCACCCTCAACTTACAATGCAAAACAAATTAAATAAAATCCCCCAACTTCTTGCTGGCTTCTCTCTAAACTGAATAAAGCATCTCCTGACCTATTTTGGTTCTGGATCAGGGAACAAGGGAACAAGATCAACAGAAACTTTGGCCCCATTTGGCGTGTCTTTCTGCATGGGCTACTGGGCTGTCGTCTGTTTAGAAGCCCGGCAGCCCGCGTTTTCATCTTTTCCCATTTGGTTGGGGAAAAATCTAGCCACCAAAAGACTCCACCCCAAAAAGACGCGAGAAACTCGATTTGATCTTATTTCGGGAAGCTAGAAATGAAGCTTCTCACCTTTTATTGTCTCATCTTCGCGCAGAAAGACATGCCTCCAACCAAATGGTCTGTGGGCTGCCAAGATCTTTATGTAAAAGCCCACTATGTCTTTTGGCTGTCAGATCTTTCAAAAAGGACTTGCCAAATGGCACCTTCATTAAAACCAGAAAAGGCAGAGACAGGAAGTATATATAATGGTGACTCTCAAAGGGGAAAAAATGGAACCCCATGCACCAAAAGAATCCTACTACATTAAGATCTGGCCACAGTACATATCACACCTCTGTTACACCACTTCTAGCAAGGTAATCAACTAGCTTATTAGTAGACCTCTGGAGATAGTGGAACAAGATTTTCACCCTTGCAGCCAGAGATCCCAGCTCTAATACAATGGTAATGATAACAAGGACCAGTTTCAGGATTTTTCAGTTTATCTATCTTGTATGCTACATGTACTAGTTTTTTGGAGTATAAGTTGTACAGTTGCCCTGTTAACAATTTTCAATTTCCTGGGCAAGCAATTTAGGTAGGAAATTTCTTTCATCAGTACTCAAATAGAAAATTATTAATATGAACGAAACTGTTCTTTATTTGATATCTAAATTCAGTTTCTAGCAGGACTACTGTATGTTGCTGTTTGGTGGAAAAATTTTGGCATGCCACATTGAGGTACTATATGTCAGTCTTGACAAAGTTGCCTGCCCAAATTTTATAAATGCCTTGTTCAACGATAAAGAGATCCTGGTATTTCAGTACTTATTCCACTCATTCATAGCAGAAAGAAAGTGAAAAAATAAAGAAGATAAAGAGGCATACCAATCACAAAACCATTGTATTCAATGACTGAGTCATCAGGTCTTGTGTTTTCTCTGCTCTCAAACTCCATTGTGTAAGACATGCCAGAGCATCCACCCTGCTTAACACCAATTCTTAGGCACAAGTCCTCATTCCTCTCAGACCTCATCTTATTCAAATGTTTCAATGCATTCTCCGTCAGAGAAATTGCAGGTGCAAAACCCCCAGAGGTTGGTGGTGCTGAAAAATTGAATCCCTTGTAAGCATTATTATGATTATGCACTTACAAACTTAATATCAAGGAAAGTTATCAGGTTTTTCTTTTTCTTTTGAAAGGTGGTAAAGATTTCATTAAGAAGAACAAAGAAGGGGGGAAAGAGAGGATTACAAAGGGAACTACAATAACCACTATCATATCAGATTACAAAATAATCATCCCAAATAACTTTTTCCCAATGCGCATTGTTATGAAATAAATGTGTATTATCACCAGAAACTTGTAGGAAAAATAACAGACATGTTGCACCCTGAATCAAGAATCCAATCTTAGAGCTTGGAAGCTTGATCTAAGGAACTACTAGAAACGAGAAAGGAATATACATAATAACTGAACTTCTGCATTGTCCCAGTGAATCATTTTAAAACAGCTAAACAAGAAATCAAAAGATGCCTAATCTCATTAAACAAATAGGAATGCCTTGAAGGACCTGTCCCAAAGCCCTTGCCCATTATATATTTCTAATTGTTATCATCAATATTTATTGCGTAGATTATTTTTCTATGGCCTAACCATAAAAGAAAAACTATCACAAATTCATCAGAAGTTGATAAGGATATCGGCAAAAGAATAATTATAAATATAAAAATGAACTCTCTCTTTATTGATTTGAAATTTCAAATAGCAAAAGAAAAGTTCTATTTATATAACCATTGCCTACAGAACAAGGATGTGTGACATGTTAAATATACATGGCCAATGACCCATCTCAACATAACCTATTCCAGCCTTCATATGTTATCATGGTGCACCATCCCATTGACATGTATTAGCTATATGGTGCAGCTCTAAAAGAACAGTTTCCCGTATGGTTATGCTTCACCTTCCTCAAAGATCACCCTTTAAGCTAATAATATAAAGCCTAAAAATTGAATGTTCCAAAGAAGAGTATCTTCATCATGTGATAAAAGAAAACCCAGTAAAGATCATTATAGTCGATATCAATTGGTCTTGAAAACTAGAACTGCCGGTCTTCCACCATACATAACCAATATCGGTAAGGATACTTGATTCTGATTTTCCAATTTCTTTCTTTCTTTCTTCTTTTGATTTTATCAACCATGGCATCCTCTTATCTTCAGCTACTTCTAGCAAAAGCAGCACCACTGTGGTTCTGACATCTTAAATAAAGATGACTGATAAGCCATACTCTTAGGGTCTTTGACATTACCATCAGTGATTGTTATTATCTCCTAGGGGTGTGCACCTAAATGATTCTTATTTCCCAACTTCATTCTAGATATATTGAGGGAAAGTAGACTAATGGTTTGGGCACGCTTAGAGAAGACCATCTTTAGCAACAATGAGAAGAAGTTACCTGGTACAAATTGAAGGAGGAAGGGGCTAGAAGAACTAGGGCAGACCAAATAGGGCATGGACTGACATAGTGAGAAATGATTTAAGGACCTATAATTTAACAATGGATAGCTATGGTATTGAACAGAATGAAATGATGGAACAGGACTCGATGTAGCCAATTCCAATATAGATGGGACAAGATAGCTCTTGAACCATCGCTTTAAGTCCATATTATCAATTTAAAAACGGTAAGCAAGATGATTGCCTCCCCCGCTTGAAACTTTTTCCGATAGCTTTTTAATTCTCAGTAGTCTACGTGCGAAAAGAAATTAACAGAGCTACAGTCCTACTACTAGAAATGTTATATAGGAAAACCAAGATGCAAGTAAAATTTTTTCCTTGGAGAATCATTTAATAAAACTAAAGAATTGTGACACGAACTGACCAACCGTCGAAAACACGAATACATGAGGTCTCAAAAACATCAAGAAACTGACAAATTCAATATTTCAAACACAAAAATAAGAGAACATAATTAGAGTCAACAACCCAGAAAAAAAGGGAAAGAAAAGAAAAAGGTACCTGTAACTAAACTTGATCGAATCGAGATTGGTTTCCTATTGAGATTTGAAGGCGAATATCGAAAATAAACGGAATTAGAAGTTCTGGGCACGGGCGAGTATATGGGCAAACGGCAAAAAGATGGACTCTGAATGTTCGCAGAGAACGCCATTAGAGAGATCGCAACAGAAAACAGAAAAAGAGAGTTAGGCAAAGTTCTAAACGAAGAAATGGAGCGAATCGTCAAGTTTTCCTTTTTCTTTTCTTTTCCTCGTTGTTATTTATTTGTTAGTTGTTGTTGTCTGGTTAAGACTTATATAAACAAGAAAATTTGTATGAGATCGGAGAGGCCCACTAATCTACTCCATCTTAAGTACGGGCCCAGTGAATGAAGAATCTGATGGTTAGACCATTATCAGTAGAGACTGTTGTGTGTATTGTTTCGTATTGTAAATAATCTTTTCTGTTTTCTCATCCTCCAGAAAATTTTGAGGTCTACGGCTGCTTAGTAGAAGATACTTTTGTCAGGGGCACAGACGATCTCCACGTGGCTCTTGTCCGTATGTTACACCGTGACACACACGGAATCGTTTTGTTCGAGACTTGAGGAATGTACGATTACTATTAAGGATAAATTGCTGAAGAACCCCCTGAAGTTTATTATCGTTTTTGAAACCTCCCTAAAATTTGGAAGTTGCAATCTTTCCCTATTGTTATTGGAATCCCCATGCATGAAAATGTTCAAAATGGATAGATTGGAAGGATTTGAGGTCAGGTAACAATTAATGTGAAGAGAAATTTAGAAAATAATGAACATTTTTTGTACCTTTTGTTAAAAGATTCTAACAGAAACGTCTACTTGCAAATGTGTTAGAAATTTTAGGAGAGGTAATTGTAATTATCAAATTTTAGGGAGGTTTCAGCAATATATATATAAGAAACCAGCCTCACTTGACCCAGATTAACATGTATCAGCCCCTTCCCTCAAATAAATCCCACAAATACATTAATAATATTAAATAGGTTAAAATAATTATAAATATGGTATAAATAAAAAATGCATATATATATATTTTTTTATAATTTATACAAAGAGAATAAGAGATGCATCACAGTCAACAAATATTAAAAGTCTAAAACATGTAGATACCTGAAATGCTATAGTACTAGAAAGGGACTGACTAAGATACGAGAAAGATATGATATTCTAAAAACTTGTGGTCAATCAACTAGTATCATAAATGAGTTAACCAATCAACTGGTATTTATTAAAATTCATGAGGTGGGCTTTGATTGGTTAAAGCCCTTTCGATACCATATCTTTCCGTAATTATAGATTCTCTCCATATAAAAACTTTATTAATAATACATCAAACTATGTTGGAGCTTCCAATAATATATTAAAAATTCATTACAAAACACATTGAATTGTCGTTAGAGCAATGAGTTTAATAGATCATGGATAGATCCATCTTATAGTTCTCTTAGCATGAGAATCAATTAGTTTATTTTTTCTAAAAAATTAAGAAAAAAGTGCCACGTGCACTTGGAATCCTGAACCTGACCTTTTTCTTTTTTTCTTTTTTTTGTTCAAAGCGGTTGCTCTAGAACTCGACTACAGGGGTGGCAATTTTCCCTACCACCGATGGGTACCCGGGCTCCCCGACCCGATGGGGTTGGGTATGGGGGTACTTTGGCTGGTCAAGGTCAGGGATGGGGCGATCCCTAAATCCCCGATCGGGTTTGGGGATGGGAATGGGGAATGCAATCCCCACCCCGACCTAGTCCCGATTAATATATATATATATATATAT